CTTTCAATCCGCCACTAATAATGACAACTTTTAGGGTCTTTTCTTGAATTGTCGAATTTGAATAATCTTTAATTAATCATTTTAAATTTATCTTTTTGTTTCAAATGCAAGTCTATGGACTGTTCATGCTGAACATCTAATAACCAGTGGATTGGGGAGCCTAGCACAGTTGGTACTAGTTTGGCTCCATGCTAATGTCGGCCTTAACATTTGTTTTATACATAATTATATAGACATATACATGCATAAAATAATACTGTTTAATTTCACAGCCCCCAATCACGCAAGTTGATCCGGTAGGCAATCTAGTGGAAGAGCAAAACAGCCAGGTTGAACAAACAAAATGCAACTCAGCATCACGTCAACAAGCAATATGGTACATCGTTACCTTGTTTACAATTGCCATCACTCAGGTGTTTCTGTAATCCATCTTTGTTTATGGATTTTTAAAAAACTAAAAGTAGATTTATATATTGATTTACGTACAATCGTATCGTATAATAGGCCTATTATTCGAAACAATCTTTGTAAAAACTGTTTTACCTCCACAGTGTAACATTAAACGCTTTTTAAACATTCCAAATTGGTTAAGGTCGATAAGTTTATAATATTATATAGTAGACAGCAACTATGTATACGTAATCTTTTGAGACTGTTCCAGTTTGTAGTTAAATTGTTGTAATCTGGTTGTATATTTAATATACAGAACGGCATATCCATACTAGGATTATAATATTATAACCCTCGCATATTCCATTCTACTTGGACAGTCACACGTCTTAAAATGAATATGATGATAGTAGAATGATGGTGTGTAATCTTATACAGGATATGAAAACAATACTCACATTATCTAAACACGTACTGGTTGGATGGATCGTTTATAAAGGACTCAAAATGGGCGGATTCAAGAAGTTCCTGTCGGGGAGGGGTGAGGGCGTATATGAACGCTCCTTTTACCACCCTGATCCCATTACTGAACCTTTGCAATACTGTATTTACTTCGTATATATTGCTTATACTGTAATGCAAAAAATATAGACTGAAAGAAAACATAGGCCTATACGTGTTAAAACCGTCGTTATGAGAAACATACATATTAGACAGAAATATTAAACTTATTATTTGCAAAGCACTTACAAAACTATATATAAAAATAGTATTACAATTAAAATCATTATTATTATTATTATTAAAGTCATTATTATTTTTTATTAGGCCCTAATTAGAATTAGATTTGTTGGAAGCACTGCAGCTTGACCCTTTCAATAAAAACGATAAAACTAATTGTAGTAACAGAAATATTAAAATTGTCATTTTCAATCCAATCGAATGTGCGAATTGGTTATTCCAGATGAGTGGCGCCTCGTACGAAAAAGATTTGTTACCAATACGCTTGTTAAAGAAAGGTTGAAAGAAATTAACATTCAAAGCTGATCTGGTACGAATTTGGTTTTTACTTACAAGAAAAAATTCAGAGATATATTGTGGGCATAGGCCAGACAGTGACTTGAAAGCAAGGACTATTAATTTGAAATAAACCCTTTGCCTAAAAGGCAGCCAGTGAAGTTCATGGAGAAGATGTGAAGTGTGAGTAGGAGAGGATCGGATGTTAAATATAGGACGTGTAGCAGAATTCTGCAACTTCTGTAATTTTAGAGAATCTGTTACAGTAAACTCAGAGTACAATGAATTGCAGTAATCAATTCTAGATAAAACAAGTGCACGAACTGCTGCATATGACATGTGTAATAGTTGATAAATTTGTGAATCCTCCATAAGTTACGTATATGGTACTTGGTCGATTTACAAATTGACTGAACTTGATTAGACAGTGACAGCGTGGAATGGAATCAAATGTAACACCAAGATTACGGACCGAGTTAGTCCGGGGTAGAATGTTAAGTTCTCCAAGTGACAGAGAAGTCTGTCTAACGTGATCAAGCTCTAAGTGCCTCTTAGAAGAACAAACAATGAATTCAGTTTTGTTATTATTAAGTTTAAGCTTATTCTTAGTCATCCAAATCTTAACATCCTTGATACATAACCTAAGCCTGTCCAAAGCCAGATCAAGAGAAGAGGGATGAGAAGGATCAAAATCCAGATACAGTTGCAGATCATCAGCATAAAAATGATATTTAATACAATGACGCCTGATGATGTCTCCAAGCGGACTAATGTATAGGCTAAATAGAGCAGGACCCCCACCGAGCCTTGTGGAACCCCAAATGTTAATAAGTGTGGATTAAAGTAATTATCATCGACACAGACACAAAGAAAAGCACTTATAAAAGTATTATATAATTATTATTAGAATTAAAATCATTATTATTATATTTAAAATTAAAACTACAGCTAGATTTGTTGGAAATTGCCAGATAATCTTTATTTAGTATGTACGTTGTCAAGTCAAAAAAGAAAAAAATTGTGACAATGATGATGTTCGTGATGATGATGATAGTGGTGAGATGATAATGATGATGACGGTTTTTGCGTACGAGGTGGAGAGCCAGTGAAATTTGTGCAATCATAAAACCAGGGACACAAGTATCTGGAGAAAGCCTAAGGATCTCTCCAAAGTTCAGCACTCTCCCCTCCCCCCTCACACACACGTGCTCCCACCAATTTAGATGACTGAGCTAGGCTGCTATTATGATGCATGTGTAATGTAAGTAAGACCTTGTATTTGTACCTGTATATATGCACCTTCATGGGTCTCTACTTTCTACAGGACACTTACATCCATTCAAATTTCAAGTATTGTACTACAGTAATAGACAAAAATCAAAGCGAACCGACGCTTTGATTCGCGCGAATAAATTTGCCTAGTGGAAAACCAACTTAACAACTGACCACTCAGAACAGAACCAGGCATGGCACCGGGATTTGCCCGACAGGGTGGGGTGGTGGGGGCGGGGTCCGAGGGGATTTCCCCAACGAGAGCAAAGTGAGCGTTGCTCAAAATCTTTCGTGGTCCAGAGGCGAAGCCCTCGAAATTTTTTTCAGAATTTCAGAAAGAGTTTCAGAATTTATTTAATTTGTATTCCATTGTTTTAATGTCAGGCTCCGAAGGAAAAAAAATTGATATGTTGTAGAACTGATTTTTCTAAGACAGAAAAAAGTTGTTTGACGAAAAACTGGGGAACGGTGAATGAGATACAGATTTTTCCTCCGAAGCCTGACTTTAAATGATAATAAAAGAATCTTAATCTATGTACTTTGTACTTCTAATAACAAACACGAAGGTTGAATAGGCCTACAGTAACACATCCCTGGTTTCGTTCAGTTTTCATGTAGGCTAGGTTACTCAATTGACAATCCCAAACAGGGATGCGCCTAGATCAGTGTCGAACATAGGACCGAATTGAGTCGATTATTGTATACTTTTCCAATTCTGAAGAACAGTGTATTTTTTTTATTTATTTAAATAATAATATGAGGTCTCACCATACGAAATAAGATGTAGGCCAATGGCATGGTGGCACCATGTTGAGATAATCAGCAGTAGGCCCCAAATTTTGATTTGAAATATTTAAGTACGTTAATACATTTTACGATAGTTACTCTAAGTTAATTACAATTATACTAGGCATATACTGTAGGCCTCTTTGGTGTATGGATACTCAAATAAACGCCCCTTAATTTCACGGTAAATGTGTGGAACATACTACTATAATGTGTTACGTTATTGCGTGATCATAAAGACTTAAATTATTGAGCCTAATCAGCCCCGATTTTTTTTGGGCCTGGTTTGGGAGCGTCCATCCCCAAAATAGGCACTCGTGTAGTCCTACAAACGCATGTATTTGCGAATGTTTTATATTGTTTTAGTTGTTTTTATCAACAATATGATAATATTTAATGGGCGGGGCTTAGTAGAAAGGGCCTCTGCATTGCATAAGTCTTTCGCAAGTCTAAACAGAGGGCGTACCACAAACTAAGTATTTAGGCGGTTTCGGTTGTTTCCACATGGCCGGTTAGCTCAGTCGGCAGAGCGTCGTGCTAATAACGCGAATGTCATGGGTTCGAGCCCCATATCGGCCAGGTAAAAATTTTGTATATATTGTTATTAAAAAGTACAGGATCATAATGTGTATATATATATAGGCCTATATGAGTATGTATTATACTATCTCATTTATTGTTATACTGTACTATCTTATGTTCCCACCTCTTTTTGATATCATTCTCTCAGCTAGTCATTATTTTTATTGCCCATAGAAAAATTAATGCTTTTTTGAAGAAAAAAAATTCATGAGGCTCCAAAATTTGATGAGGCCGGACGGGGACGTGAAAATAGCAATTAATTTTATTTGGCCTTACGATATTTCGTGATCACTTGAGCCTAACCAGTTAGAAGAATGTAACATAATGAAAACTTTAGGCCCGATTTCGGACAAAAGCTCCTTCTGTGGAGAATCTACGTACAGTTGACCTAATTCGTATGCATGAACGTACATCTCCACTAAAGGATT